TATCCAGAAGAAATTTGATAGAAATCGAGCCTATATCTATCACTTTATATGAAGTATACCTAGGTATACTTCAAATACCTAAAGTAGATGTTAACATACTGAATAACCGACTTCAAAAAATCAAAAAACTAATAACAAACAAAAACTAAAAACAAAAAAAAACTATAATTGGTACTGATAGGTTACCCACCCCACCCACTGATAGGTTAGAAGTCTATTTCTAGTCTAGTTCTATTCAAAATTATTCATTAAAACCTTAGTAGATACCTAATTTACAGTTTCGCTGAGCTCTCGGGAGTATACTTTTTCAAACAACACAAGAATTTTGGAAATCGTTTCACAAATGGCGGAGTAATCGACGAACAAATAAAATGAAAAAAAAAAAGAAACAATCAGCCGAACATAGTAGTACCTCCTCAATTATTTTCCTAAACCGAGAAAAAAATCTGAAATTTTCCATCCACGAGCGACGAGAAAATTGGCAAATACTGAAGTATAAATCAATATCCTAATTGCTGTACAAATTCAATTTTATATGTTATTTATATCCAGGTAAAGCTAGGCTTGACCTTATCTCACGTCACGGTATCGTCCTCGACCCTATTTATTACAGAACATAACAGATATACAACTCAAAGTAAAAATCAATAACCATTGCTCTATGTACCTACACTCCACCTTCGACCTTCGACTCCCCAATTAGACACGCAAAAGCAAGAGGAGGGCGATAGGTACATATTCAATAGGACTGCACGGTTGGCGCGGTGGTTGGGCAACTGGCAGCCGCGCAACGTGCCGCGGGTTCGATTCCCGCACGGCTCAACTCTTTGTATGATGTACGGGTTATTGTACCGGGTCTGGGTGTCAAGTGTATGTGAACTTGTATGTTTAGAAACGCACCCATGTCACAGAAGAAAATCCTAGTATGGGGGACCCGTTTTTAAAAACAAAAATAAAAGATAAAATATTACCAATTTCGTAATTTGTACCAAAATATTAATACGAACCTTATTATTCAATAACACACGAGTAAGTGCAAGATAGCGTTCATAACATATCACGGTAACAAGGCGCAACTCCATCTTCAATTCTCGTCATTTCCAGAATGTACCTACACGTTTACACGTGCCTTTGAAGTGACACGATTGATAGATAACCACTTGCAACGACGTCAAAGCTAAAGCAAGCTAATTAAGGACGTTAAGCTTTCATCTTTGTCGTTTCACCTTCCGAGAAGCGATGCATAACTAATATGTCAAAACCATATTTGCTGAAATGTAGTGCCAATATAATAGGCGGTTAAGCATGCCATGCGATGCCAATTAATATTTACGCAACGCTAGGCACCGATAAGCTCAAACTTGAGATGAGATGTGCAATGATTGCTAATTCATGAACTGATGAACCATAATATGTCAATATCTTTCGAAATGGATCGTGGTTCACGCAACCTTTATCCTGAAAGTAGGTACAGGCGATAGCAAAATATGTATTGTATAATTCTATCGGCATTAAAGCGCTATTATTAAAATCCACAGTTATATCCTCATCGTTAATTAAATCGGGATTAAATAATTTTAATTAAACCAAAACTGAAATGAAATATTTAATGTAAGAGTTATGAGTAATTAAAATATGTACTACACATGAACTGTTCGACTATTGAAATTATACAATGCGGTTTGCAAATTAAAGTCATTTTAATTGGGATCATGCAGCCAAATAAAACATAGTACCTACAACCGGATTGCCCAAGTTATTATTTTTGACATCCAGTTACATTCTGATCTTTATAAATGAAGTGGGAGCACTCAGAAACAACCCTCTTTCGGGTACGCATTCTTAAGATGCCACTTAGCGAGTGCATTTAATGAAATTGTACCATTAATTATTTAACAAACTTTAAAACTACGCGGATATAATTAGCACAACAACAAACCCACTATGCTACTGAGACACGACATGTACCTAGGTACATAACAATTCGTAAAAGCAATTGTTTGCCTCTTACATATTATGGTCAGTGGGTCGTGAAAACATTTCGAGAATTAAACAATAGTTCGTCAGTTCATAATTAACTGCGCAGTATCTAGCCCACGCGAGCGTGCAATTCAAATAACTCTAGGAATTTCATTTCCAGGTAACATAATTCATGCTTGCACGGACTAACACAAAGCGACGAATAGCCACCCTTTGTTTGCACTAAACAATTTCAATGCAAACTATAATTACATATAATATGTAGAATTTGAGTTCCGTCCTTGTACACTACCTATTTATTTACAAAGCATACCGACCGAGTACCTATTACGTGTCAGCAAGGAGATTGCTTTCCTAACCCTATATTTATTAAATAGGACATTTCATGGTATCAATCTAACCATAGTTGAATATTGACAATAAAAAGCGTAACAGAACTTGCCGAGTAACTTTGCATTTTGGGCAACCGAAACGAAATCAGAAGTTGACCGGAGTACATTGTAATGGTGCTTCCACATACTTCGAAAGCGCCGCCTGCAAGCAGCTCGTGAGAATCTAGCGAACGACGTGTGGGTGGCGTGTGTGAGGTATATGAAAAACACATGTCATCATCCTTGTGAGCAGTGCCGAATTAAGTGATCAGTTCGTGACATACTCGCGAGCGGTTTGCGTTTGTGAGCGGTTCGCGATAGACTGCAATTCGCGGTAGCTAGCGGTTCGCGGTTGCGAGCGGTTCGCGGTTGTGAGCGTTTCGCAAGCGGATCGCAAGCTACTCTCGGGCAGCGCGACCATGGTCGCAACATAACTAGAGAAAAGTAATAATGTAACTGACGATAACGCATAAAATTATGCCCAAAAAATCTTGACGGTAACTCTAAAAGCATAATTTTACGAAACCTAAATGTACTCCACAATCTCGTAGAAACGCCTTTCAGTAAGTAGGTACTCATTAAAATGGCTAAATATTGATTTCATAACAGCGTTTTTCAGCAGACAGAACATTTTGCAATGCCCGTATATAAATTAATGTACTATAACTGTAGGATGATCCTATTAGCAAACAGGAGCAAAGGTAAAAACGACGAATCATTACTGTACCTACCCAAAGAATTTAAAATCGCGAGAATCTTTTACCCGACCCCAGAACAAAGTTCATAACCACTTGCTGTGCTTGCGAGCAATCACGCGAAAGAGCGGACGTGGGAACAGTCCCAGAATAATACTCATTAGTCCTCGAACAGGTAACGGGCGGAGGGCGAATAAGAAAGGTATTATTTAGAAATTAATATCAGTAAATTTTATTTCTTCGAAACATCATTAGGTAGCTCTTTTCACGGTATTGAGGAACGGCATTTATTTTTAAACGTAATAAATTTTCCTTCCAGCAGGGCGTGGCCCTCTTGACAGACAAAGAATATAATTCTAAATTACGTGATATTACTAAACATTTCGAAAACCCCGCCAATACTTTCCCTAATTGACACAAGAAACGAATCCAACACTTGTTGCTCGGCATTTACGCTTACGATACCACCGTCCTACGGACAACGACTACCTCGTCCAGTTTCTATTATACCGTAACAGAAATAATAAGAGACCACCACTATTAAAAAAACACAATTGATAATCCTAATAATCTTTTACTCAACGCAAACATCGAACTCTGAATCCATTAAGCATTAGATTCATAGAAACTAGTACAATAAGTCGATACGTAATACGGTACCTATATAGAGCGTGTTTCACCCTGGACCCTGAGTTTCAATGTAGGACTATTGTGCCCTATTGAAACGGAAAATTAGATTCGATCAAATCCGATTATCGAGTATTGAAGGACGAATGAATTTGTCGCAAGGCTGGATACAGAGCAATCAAGGCGAGCGTCGCAGTAGGATGCAAGTTGCTTTGAAAAAGTCTAACATAAATAAACACAAAGACAAATTCGCTCATTAAATAAATTGCAGTGGCATTGCAAAATTAAAAAAAAATATAAGTAAAAATAAGTTATGAAAATGAAGGCCAACATAACATACTTCAATTCAAAATGAAATATTTTAATAGAAAACATAAAACAAAATTAAGCTAAAGAACAAACACTGAACTTACATTGTCCGTCGGTAGTCGGTACTCGCGCGTTATACGAAAAGCGCGGGATGACAGAACGAGAGCTGCAGAAGTGCACCGTGCCTTTTACAAATTGCGACTGAGACTAAATCCCTGACGAGCTGCCTGCATTGATTACTGCCTTGATATAAGGTTCATTCTCGTGTATACAGTAAGCTTGCAACGGCGCACTAAGCTCTTACTGCGCCGATGTAACCGCGAGTATTTAAAAGTTTCAGTCGTGTTCATACTCAATTTATTTCAGCACAAGTAGTGAAATTTCAATTTTTAACATATTTAAGGTATGACAATCAATGTCAATTGGTTTACTTTCTAAAACCTGGTTTAATTTATGCTATTTTCTATACTCCAAACATAATTTACTGTATGATTTGTATAAGCAAAGAGAGTACCGGGTAGCATATTTACATTCCAGAACCATCTTTCTCGTAAAAATGTTTTAATAAATGTCTAATAACATAATATTTCAGTCTTCTGATAAAATAATACTTCAAAATACATCACGTCCTAATTAATTAACAAGTTGATGTTTTAGAACATCGCAGGGTAATAAATGAGGTGTCAAATAAAGCTTCCACACATACTTTATTTCCATTTTCCTGTTTTTCTTGTCGCAATGTCGCCTCTCCTTCACCAAATATTGTTGAAAATACGGAAGATATAAATAGAAAAGTATCATAGAAGTAATAAAACGGTGCACTGAGCAAATCCATACAAAAATGAACTTGATAAGAACAAAAGAAATACACATGGTTTATTTGTCTTCGTCCACAACCATTCTTTTCACACCAAAGACGTAGAAATGAAAAACGTACTACAGCGAGTGCTACAAATCGTATGAGTGTTCTAAACTCATGATGTAAATGATTAAATAATAAAAAGGCAATGTGACTTACCGTGTCAGTATCAGAAATCTCATGATACTCGTGTACTTCGTCAGTTTTCGGCACCGTGGCGTTGTCTGCTTTATGTGACCTGCCAAGAGTCGCGCTCCTCACCTAATACAATCATATTTTAATTAGTTTTTACCACAAAACATAACTTTTTATTGAAAATATAAACAATGTTAATATGTCAAGGAAAACTGTACCTTGCTAAGAATGCCCTTGCTCGTTGTAGGCTCAGACAGCGTCCTGTTCTTCTTCAAGCTTCTTATTTTCACTTCACCTTTTAAACAACACAAATAAAACAAATTAATTGTATGCTTAAAATACGGACAGACTTTTAACAAGCATTAAAATTATACTGCATGAAAAAGGGATGCTCATATCAGCAGTGCGGTTTGATAAGTGTGTCTGATCACTGAACATATTCAACACACTAAACAAAATACGTATCTACTTATATCTAAGTGCCAACTAATTTTAGTGTCTATTGTGAAAAGTAATCCCTGACCTTTGCAGAGACGTTATTCTTCGAGTCAAGTTACATTTACATCCGCTGTTAAGGTAATCTGAACTGTTAATCTCCACTTACCACTGAACTACTATTTTACCGACTACTTCCAGATTAAAGATAACACTGAACGATAAAAGCCAACTGAGATGTAATTATAGGAAAGTATTTAACGATCACATCAACCTCGGCAACGCAATGGCCTTACTGTGTATAAAGACAATATGATTTGAGTTCATTATCACTCTATTGAGGTAAAATTTATACAAGACACTCGAGAATGGTTTTTGGTTTACAATGCGATAAGAATTGAACTTTCAAAAGAGGATTTTCAGTAAAATATTCGTAAAGCGTACATTGATTCCTACAATTTCAAACAATTTATCTGTACATTTCACGCACCTCTGAATTCAACCGAATTCTCTCAATTTGCTTTACGGATTTCCGGTAAAACTGGATTACCGTGTTAAACCACGAGCTATCAATTTTGTTAACACTAACTTAATAGCTTTAACAATTGTAATAAAGTTTTAACAGTTTTATTAAAACGAGATTCTCATTATATAATAAACAGTTAGTTTAACAGAGTGTTTAACTCGATTTTCAACATGACGCGTTTGCAGAATCCGTACATTTCAATATTCTATTCACTATTTTGTTTTGACTTTTAATTAAGTTTGTTGATTTTGATCAAATATTTTCAAGAGTAGATAATTATTATTGTTTATTTAACAATTTGGCCACTAATCATATTGTATATAACACTTTTTTTGTTATAAATAGTTATAATTCTACACACTTACTTCCAGTGAGTGGTCACTATCAGGAATAAACTGCGGAACTGTATTGGACATTGACTGATTAGCCATGTCCGCATTTATCGTGTCATTTACTGTATTTCCCGCATTCTCATTTTGGTATCGCATAAATTCATTTAAATAATTACTTTACATTGCTTTTATGACACATATCTGGGCGGGGTATGAATAGCATAACTAAATAAGCAGTTAGAATAGAAATTACAAAGTCAATGTTAAACGAAGTTAAACGGAAATCTTCACTCAGACACCATCAATGTTCGTTAATTTTTAATTTTTTCTTTTCTCTTACGTACCATATAAGAAATGAAAACTATTACATGTTTAACTATCACATGTTTAAAGGCCAACTTCATAGTTTCTATTAGTTGTATGAAATTACTGTCAGAAGCCGGGATCGATCAATTTTGGATTAAAATGTGTCACTAATTTCGGCTAAGTCGATAAAATGGATACTGTATCCAGACTATCCATAGACACCAAAATTAGTAAGCTAAAAAATTTAAATTAAACAATAAAAATTACGTACAAGATAGATCAACCTCGTCGGCGTCAGTCCTATTAGCATCCGGTCTGCTAGAAGCCAACATGGGGTACGGCGTGGTCCCCGAGGCTCCAGTGAGGTGCGACGGTGAGTTAGGGTTGATTAGAGGCACCTGTTCCAGATCTTCTGACGGCTTATACGGCGTCACAACCTGGCGTGGTGGCTGTGGAGAGAGAATGAAGTTAATAGGTGCATCTATGACTTTTTTACTACGTTCCAAAAATTACAAATGCGGTCTTTCTTCTTAAATGGGAAAGTGTGTCTGTTAGTCATTTACAACACATTTATCCATTTATTAGACTGTTGATTGAATGATCAAAATTCTATCTATACTAGCCAAGTCAACGATAGCATTGTATTACAATCCTATAGTCGGACTTGGTCGTCGTAATTTTTGTTTGTGACACGATATTATTAAATTTTGTATAGCGACGTGCGAGAATACGTGGTAATTAGTATTTTATTGTGAAAAACAAACACCATTTTGAGAACAATGGTTTACAACACTATAGGTCGGTGCTGTAAACCACATATTCATTTAAGATTCTAGTGTTAATTCTCCAATTTCTAAAATTCCTAATATTTTAATAATACGTTTTGCCTGAATATTAGGGCGTGTTTCCGGATTGTTATGGCAAGCACGTGCATTGTTAAGCCATATTTGTTTTGCACATTATTTGGGTACTTATACACAAGCATTCAAAAGTGCCTTTCTGGTCTAATTGATATAAATGATTTTGACTTTGAGATATGTGCAAGGGTGCAGTAAACCTACAGAATATTAAGGTACCTAAGTAAATATTGTAATCCTGGAGTAAATAAAATAAATTAGACATTATTACATTGATTAAAGTTAGTTCCCACACACCACAGTACACACAAGCGTGAAATATATAAAGCATGATGTTTATGATTACACATATAAAGCATTTAAATGGTTTTTGAGAATAACGCCTAATCCCTGCGTGAACTTTGACATTTGTAGGTAATACTATGGAATTTCTTGTCAGTTTACTAACGGTTGATAGGAGACATGTTTCTTTTTCACGCAAGTATTAGCGTTTTCAGTACTTACGCAACCGGCAGGGTCCAGGAATGATATATCGCCGAAGTAAGCACCGTCGAGGCCGACATGGCCCGTGTGCTTCACATCTCCTTGTGGGCTGGAGATCATGCTGCGCTGTATAGTCCGCTTGCCAGTGTACGTGTGTCTCTTCACATCAGATCTCAGCAAAGACGAGCGGATAGACCGCGCCGACTGCCGGATCGGGTGCGGCGATAACGATCCCGACACGTAACATACATTTTTCTGAATGGGGTGATGGAAGCTTAATGTGGGTAACTAAACATCTATCGAGCTGACTCCTGCGTTAGTAATTTGGACGAATATCTTTAACAACATTCAGCTTGATTGAATGGCTGCTCCCATAATGTAGCCGTGAATGATAAGGATAATGATTACACACGAAATTACGTTATCAACGCTAGAAGACCGATTTACTTTTGTAAATTTTAGACGAGAATTTAGAAGTCTTCTAGCAGTGAATTACGTAATGCACACACCGATAAATGAAAGAATAGTTGGGTGATCCACTGAGAACAGGAAGTTTACACACAGACGGGATAAGTGCAGACAGAAAACAACACTGTGTAAGCGATTGGAGGCGGCACTTACCTCTGGCGGAGTGTAGGGCTTCGTGTGCGTGGGGTCGAACATGCCACAAGCACCGCCGGGCAAGACCCCATACCATAGGGGGCACTTCGTCATGTTTCTGAAAGCGACGAATACTTCATCACCATATGCTACTATTTTTAACAGGTTCATATATTGCTAGCCGTGAACTTTCTATTGCCTTTCCGTCACATGGACCTTGTTCTAAGAGTGGTAACACCAGAAAGATATGACTGGCGTTACTAATAATTATGTCTTTTGTTTTATTGAGATTGTCAACCAGCGCTTCACCAAGACATAAAAAGGGCTAGTATTTCTTAGCCTTAGTTATTATTTGAACCGTCTCCTGACATTATAGCACAATTCACAATTGCCTTTGCAAAAATATACTGCTAATCGTTCGCACTGACAATCAGCTAAGCGTAAAATAGCAAAACGCAAGCTTTTTCGCTAAGTCACTGGCAAACCATAACAACCATTTGACAGTTTTTTACAGTCAATGTAAGTGTTAAACCTGCCAGCCAATCATCATAATACAGTAAGATATCATTGAATAAAGATATCAAAATAATACTTGGTTCTTTTATTGTTTTTCCATTTGTGTATCCAGTGTGGTTCAATAACTGTATGAAGTTGGTAATGAAACTTTGTCAGCGTACAATCAAACAATAAGTGGATGCGATTTTACGATTGCCGAACAAGAGGTCTGGGTTTAGATTACCAGGTTGGCAGGTGCTCGGAAATCTATTTTTTTCTTTTCTGCTTCTAGATTACATGTGGATAATATATGTGACCTTTTGTCCTTGTGTTATGTTAAGTCTTTACCAGGTAACAACAACAGTGCATTGCATATTATGCTGTGCGCAAGCTGACTTACAAAATTCGCATATGCTTTTAATAGTTTTAATATTTTTTATACCTTACATTTCAAAGCATAGCATTATTTTTAGTTAAAAATCTATTTTTAATTTATATTTATACTACGCTTTAATTTTGTTAGGCAGAAATAACACATATGTGACAGTTAAGAGGTCGATTTAAAACATGTGTAGGAAGGCTTATAGATCGTGATCAATTAAAGGAAAAATAACGGAATTACTTCAACATTTTGAGAACAAATAAAAACAATGTTTCTTTATTGTTCCATTAATTTTATAATGATCGCTAGCAATGGAAACTTACTCTTTTCCTAATACTGTAATGACTTGTCCGGACTTGTATTCCAGCAATGTGTTACGGCGGCCATCTTCTGGCTTCTGGAAATTCACCGCCGCTTGCACCTGTGAAAAAGATCATTTAGTTTTTGTTTGAAGTCAATAGATGGTAGTTATGTAGCATTACTTTACTAAGCTTGCAAAGCGTTTTGATTACCGTAGCTTGACAGTCAAGGGTTTTAATGTGATTTTACTACGCGACTAGGACTTTTATCTTCTTACCAAACTTAATTTTATCTAAATTAACTTTTTTTTATGGCACAAGCCGGTAAACGAGTAGACGGATCACCTGATGGTAAGCAATCGGCGTCGCCCATGAACACCTGGAACACCAGAGGCGTTACAAGTGCGTTACCTGCTTTTTGGGGACTAGGAGTTTGGGGATCGTTGGGGATTCAGGGATTGGGGAGATTGGGGAAGGGGTGGGTAATTGGGCCCCCGGTAACCTCACTCACACGACGAAACACAATTTTTGACTGCTAATGAAAATAACTTAAGTTCGATCGGTTCTCATAACATATGACGTCTCAAATTGTGATTCGCTCTACGCCTTGGGTTCGGAAGTATTACACATATGCATAAATCTGCAGTGATAATATTTCTTACCTGCTCCGGCCGGATGCTAGCCAACTTCGCGCTCAAGTCTTTGAACTTTGGTCGGTTATTGAAGTCGTGGGCCCAGCACTCCAACATGGTGGTGTAGTAAGCTTCAGGACAACACTCTGGTCGCTCCAGTCTCTGAAGTTATATAATGGTTCATTATAAATAGGCAACCTCATTCATTATAAATAATATTGGTAAAGTAATTTGAAGTGGGTCTATTGAGAAACAACACAAAATGGCTCCTTTATTTTTATGTTATGATATTCATGTGCCGGGGGGTGGCCTTATCGCCTTAAATCGTTGCTAAGAGACGATCTATAATAATTCGACACGGCCTTCTTAGTAGTAACGACCGTGAAATCATTATTTGGCTATTATTATTACTAAAGCTGCATATAAGAAGCGGTACCGTTGCTACATCGAATTTATTATTATTTAATGCCTATTATTTGAGGGCATTGATGGATGGGTCCCCTAACCAGCCAATCAAGAAATGTAGTAGTAGTACGAACTAATAATACGAGGTACTGGTCAATACTTTTTGCCATAGCTGTATGCAGACGACAGTATAAAAGGACCTTAAGAAATTGCTTTGCAAATGGGGTTACGTACTACAAAAGGCCAATTATTCAATAAATCTGCAAGACCACTCCTTGAATTTGCATGAAAAGACTTCACAAGGGTTCTTATAATAGCAACTGAACAAAGATTTTGTAACGAATTTCGCAGCGCAATATCTCCATTAAAAAGGATAATCCTTGATACACTAATTGCGTTGCAAATTTCTTTTTTGTACTATCATGTTTGACGAGCCCAACGACGGTTGTTGGGCATACTAGTTTTTAAAATCAGTTATTCAACATCCTTTCGAATTAAATACATCAGGAGATACTTCTCAGGAGACTATGGAAATTGTTTGCAAAGTAACGAGTACATCGACTTTAGACCTGATGGAGCTGTTTCAACCTTTCATAGTAACAAAAGATTAATCATTTTGATACATCTTGCAAGCATGTACCGATGGAATATTACGAATACGATTCTTTATCACAATATGGTCCAGGTCAGTCGCTAGACTGTTATAAAATATTTTATTTGAGTAAGTATTTAATTAATACGTGACAAAATAAGACATAACAAACCTGGAAATTAGGAGCATCAATGGCTTCCAAGATCTGCTGTCCAGAAAAGGCGGCCCAGGGTTGGAATCCGTAGGTGAACATCTCCCATAGACAGACGCCGAATGCCCATACGTCACTCGCGGATGTGAAGCGAAGAAACAAGATGCATTCTGGAGCACACCTGTAACACATTTGTAACCTATCATTAAAGGGTCTATCATACAAGAATACATTTGGTATCAACCCTACAGAGCGAGTATTACGTTTATTAGCCTTCTGATTGGATTGTTAATATGGAGCAGGCCAATCAGAGCGCCGTTGTAATCGTGGCTATCACGTTAACTTAAAACAAACTTGTTCTAGAATCTGTTCCCGCGGAATTCGTAAGTTATAGACAGGTACATTTAACACCGGCCGGATTGCAGCATTTTCTGATAGACTTATTCCTTTTAATCTGCGAAGTCCAACCGACTTGCCAAGAAAGTGGCAGAATCAAGATAGCGGCAAACTCCTATTGCCGTTGTCCAGTAGTGGACTCTCACAGACCGTCAAAAATTATTACCAGGACTCTAATACACCCTTGTAGTCAACATAAATAAACCTACGATACGCGCTTGCAACCACAAATTACGACAACTTGTCTTTATTCCTACCTAATGACGAACTAGGTAAACATAGAAGAAGTGAATTACAGCAAATTATTGTGAAATATAGGTAATTTGCCCACACTGTAAAATACAAGGTATTTGCAACTAAGAAGCAGTGGTTGACTTGATGACGTAGTAATCTTGTAATCTCATTAGATGACATTCAATATTTGGTCTGTCTAAACAAATAAGTACTGTATGGAATTGTAAAAGAGCGCATATTGCTTCTCGCAGGGGCTTTGACCATATTCCCGTCGGATATGAAGTAACATATGTGTTATAGCCAACCGGACTATAATCTACCCCTAATTTAAATTTCATCCCAATCCCTTGAACCGTTTTGACAGGCATACACACATTACTTAGATTATTATTATTACAGAACTTAATGAACGTCAAACAAATTTCAACTTACCATGCCACTGGGAGCTTGAGATTCACATTGTAGTTTGTCTGATAATAATCCTTCCCAACACCCAATGCTCTTGATAATCCAAAATCTGATATCTTCACTCTATCCTTGCTAAATACTAAGATATTTCTGGCCGCAAGATCCCTGAAATATAATGATTTTGTGGTAAAAATTGTATGTATTAAGATTTTATCTGGGTATTATTTGCCCTATCAATTGATAGGGCGCCATATTTTGTATAACTCTACAGTACCCTGGTAATTTTTTCGCAGTCATTTTAGTTTGTAGTGTGTAGTGTAGTTCCCTATATGTGGTTTAAGTGAAAGATGGATATTTGAAAATATGTTTTAAATTGTTTGCAACAAAACTGCATTGAAATACAAATAGATGTTCTGCTTTTAACAATGAATAGAGATGCACAAAGTGCATTCGGTTATCTCCAGCATTGTATTTGAATCAGTAACAAACATTCTAGGAACACACCAGACAAAGTTATATAGGAAAAAATCTGTAAAATTCCATTATGCAAAAATACATAATTATGGGATAGAAACAATATTAATTAGGAAAAACAAAATTGAAAAAAAAAATTACGAATACAAAGAGGCTTGCTCGTAAACACTTGAACAAATTGAAGAACCCTTCAATATATATTTAGCATTCGATAAGGATGTTGAATATTCGATAAGAGGGTATTTATGAGCGGAAAATGCTTTTGTTTTTGTAAAAAATGAGTGTTCTTCAATACAAAAACGATAACTGAAAATATTCCAGACAATCGTCAAGTATGCACGTGTATAATATATTCCTATTATATGACGGACTGTTGCCCCCCTGAAGGGATACATATGTTCCGCTAGGAAATAATCAATTACGCTGCTAGTCCCACGTAATAGGGGGTACCGATACCTACTAATTCAAAGTGACAGCACGCTAATTCAGTCTATACAAAATAAAGTTTCGTTTATACGTACCTATGTATCAGTCTTTTGCTTTCCAAATACGACATTCCATCACAGATCTGTTCGGCAAACTCACAGAGATTCGGCACTGGGAAGTTGAGGCGTAATGATACCTCACGTAAGCACTCTAAGAGCGAACGAAGTGGCGCCAATTCGGTCACCTAAAACATTATCTTATTAAACGCGTGTATTGATTTCGGCCAAATAAATTCGAAGAAGTGTATACAAAAACTGTGAAGTCTATAGATAATTCTAATTAATTAAAATATTTCTATGATACCCACGCAATACTTTTATGAGGATTCCTTTAAAAATTGCTATAGGAGAAATTCGGTTTAATTTGTTTTTCGATGAAAAACACACCAAAGAGATCTTTACTAATTTTATAGGGACAGTAAGCTTCTTCGATTTTTTCTCTTATATAGGTACCTACTTAGTTGTTAAGGAGAAAGTCAAATTGGGGTCATTTATTTATGGGTTGGCAACTTAAAATTTGTTTGTTTATACGGGTAGTCGACATTATTGTTTTTGTAAGGTATACTTGCCAGCATCAAGGAGTCTAGGTGAAGTACGACACCATACAGACGGACGATGTTCGGGTGTTCGATGCTGTGCATCACTGCTGCCTCTTTCAAAAACTCTGTCGAATTTGAGGTCATCCTCTCGTGACCAAGACATTTTATCGCTACTTGCAGCTAAAATATAAAGAAAAGAAATGTTTATATAGAGTAGGTACTTTTGTAAAATCCTGTAAGAGCATTTATGTAAAATGTCTAAGTCTTGACCTAAGTACGACCTCAAAGCATATTTGCATTGATAAAATAACAAGAGTCATGAACAGAACCCTGCATCTGCATACATGAATGTCGTACGATCGTCGCGGCTGATAGCGCCTGCAACATATGCAAAACTCAACTTAGCGTGTACATTTTTAAAACTGACTATCTGCACATAATGTATTATTCATATGAAAATATTAAACGGTACATACTCTTTGATTCCCTGTAGTCCATGTTCCTTGTTGCACCACACCAAATTGACCCATTCCAAGCTCTTTGTTAATAGTTATATCCTCGATAGAAATGATATGCTTCGTAGGCACTTTCACGTTATTTTCAAAAACTGGTTGCATTTCCAGTGGAATTGATGTATGTCCGTGAAAATTCTGGAAATGAGTTGAAATTGAATGTTTGTAATTAATTTTTTGATGGTACGACTGCCGCACTTTATACACAGCTATAGTGGTAGATGTAGCTCTACAAAAATGAAGAGAACGAAGTTTCTGTTTCAAATCCACGAGTCGAAGTCTGATAAAAATAGCTAATACCTACTTATTTTTTTCCCTAAACGTTATCAGAACTCGTGTAATTTGGGGTGTTTCTCGAGCCTTCGATGAGCACGAAGCCGGAAAATTAAAACACAAAATGTAATATTTTTCAGGGAAAATTTTATGACTACATTAACAACGGCAAATAAGGCACTTTTAGGTAGCAACACGCTGAGATTGGTTTATGCACGATTCTTAACATACTTAAACTGTCCATATTCAAATCTTACTTAGTATGGCACATGTTTATTTAGATCCATTGCCATATTTTTTAAATGTGCTAGCTTCTGGGCTACTATAAGGCTCTCCCTAGAAATAGGGATCAACTTGAACAGGGCTATAGAGGAGTGTGGTCCGATTCTTAATGGTTTAAAAGTTATTACTGCATCATTATCGTATTATGCGTTGTTTTCCATTTAAGTATCACGTGTATCATGAGCAGTATGTGAACCTCATTCTATGTTCTCTATGTTATACGCCTCGTTAAGAGGTGTGATTCTATTTTATGTCTTGTAATCAGTACAAACTGGTTATCTAAATATATATAACTCAAAGGTGACTGACTGACTGACATAGTGATCTATCAACGCACAACCCAAACGGATCAACCCAGTGATCCGGTGTCTCATGGGAATAAAATAAAGTATAATAGAGGATGTAAATGTATTAATTTGAACCTATCAGTACCTAATGGGACGAATAAATAAATAACATAACATCACGCCTTTTATAGGTAGGCAGAACTGCACACAGGACAGGAGCACATTATGCCACTGTACAATGTAACACCCGCTTTTCACTATTTATATTATGAGTCCCATATAATAGCCTATTGCCATATACCGGGTACAATTCCAGACTCCGTGCTAATACTGATATTTTTTTAAAACCCAGTAATACTTTGCCAGACACGGGAGTCGAACCCCTTGCCCGGCAGTCGCACTTACAACCATTCGGCCAACGAGGGAGTCAGCAGGCAGAGGAGAATAAATTAATACGAACAAAAAATTTAGTTCTAAGTGTTGACAATAGCTTTAGAACATAAACCATTCTTCTAAACCACTGAATCGATTTAAATGAGGTAGGTACAGACATAGTTTGAGACTCGAGAAAGGACGTAGACTTTTATAGAAATCCTACGAAAAATCTTTAGAACCATTGAATCTATTTGAGTTAAATTCGGTAAAACGATTGTTTGTGACCTGAGAAACGATGTTTCATGGTTTTTAACGCGGAAATCCCACGGGAACGGGAACTATACATTAAAGTCCTCGGCCTCTATCTCTTAAACCACTAAACTTGTTTTAGAGACATTCGATACAACAATAATCGATAGAATAATTTTTATCACCAAAACTTTATGGGAACTAGCACTGGTAAAATGTCCGCGGGATTTTTTTTTTGAAACCACGTTAATTAATTCATTTCACAATAAATCTTACTTAGGCACTGAATCGATTCTGATGACATTTGTTACAGACGTAGAATATACCTTGGAAAAGAATTATTTAAAGACATTAATTCTGCCAGAAGTTATTATTCTACGCAGACGAAGTCGCAGGCAACAGCTAATTAAGTAGATTTCTCTCACTCTAGTTACTCTGATTTAAGCCAAATAATGATAGCCATATAATGACCAACGACTGGAAACTTAAATCAATATTAATAGTAACTGAAATAAACAACATTTTGTAACTTAGTAAACGCTAAGCGACGTCCGCGTCCTCATTTAGAAAAATGTCTAATTTCTTAACTATTGAGGATAGTTACTTTGTGATTCATACCTATCTCGAAATAATCTGTATGAATAGTTACAAAGATATATGGTTTTTACAGATATATGGACAACTTTCCCTAGTGTAACCTTTCAACCCTTTTAACCAACATTAATTAATGTCATTTATTGATAAGTATTCGAGGTTTAGATTAAGTAAATATAAATTTTATTGTCAAAAGTTCAAAGATTGTTGAAAAAATCACACTTCAAATGTTGGTAATAAATGGTTTCTCCTTTTTAGTGCTATAATCATAGTATAATACTTGAATTAACATATTAAACATAACATCACTGCTTTTATTCCCGGAAGGTGTACCCAGAGATAGACACACAAATATAAGAAACACTGACCGTTTGCTAGTTGTGTTAATATCTATTACTATACACCGCGCACAATTATACACTCTGTAACAGAGTGTATAAATCCTTTTAAAACTAGAAATTAAGCCTAGTCCTACCCCAGAATCGATCAAGATTTAATCATCAAAGAGTTAATCAACATTCTTAAGTTAAATACTGAAACATGGAACGTTTACACTTCCCAGGTGAAGTAGTTTAAGTGTTATTGTAGAGCCGGGATCTCGCGTTCGACATATTGTGATTTTGCAACTGTGTTCTGGTTATGGTCATATACTAATTCGTATTATATGGGACCCACAACTGATAAAAGTTATTACTTTTAATGCATAATATGTAAGTATCTCTACTCAAATGTTCTGAAATTTAAAGGTGTTATGTTATGCTTAGAGTCTAGCCTATTTAAGTTTTCAACCCCTTAACAGTTTTAAACCCATATAATCGTTTGGTGCGCTTCGGGAATCATAAAGATATTTTACATGTTTGTTGGCTATTATCTCCGTTCTCCGGCGAGCTAGCTAAAACTCGTCATACTAAGAAATCAATACATAGTATAAAACAAAGTCGCTTTCGCTGTATGTCCGTATGTATGCTTAGATCTTTAAAACTACGCAACGGATTTTGACGCGGTTTTTTTTAATAGATAGAGTGATTCTTAAGGAAGGTTTGTATGTATAATAAATGCATATTGCACCCGTGCGAAGCCGGGGCGGGTCGCTAGTAAAGTATAAATAATTCTCTTTCAAATATCTAACACATATATAAACACAGTTGGTTCGACGTCCAATATCCCCGTGATCCGAGATTCTTGTATATAATCATAATGTATATCTATAATTATATTACTGATCTTGGGAACGCCTCTATCGATTTTATTGAAATTTGGTAATTAAGGGGTTTAGGAGGCGTTAAATGGATTTAGCTAGGTTTGATTTCCAGAAATTGTCGTGTTGTCCGTGTTTTCATTGAATAAAAATGCTTATTTGAAGCTAAATTTCGCCACTAGATATAAAATTATAATTGCTTAGTACGCCTGCTATGCAGTACATTCGAGTTCAAACCTCGGTCCGAATGTTTCTTTTAGTTATCCTGTTTTCTATTCTATTTTTTATTTTTGTTATATTAAGTATTTATGTTTTTCCTTTACATAACATAACATCAAACCTTTTATCCCCGAAGGGGTAGCCAGCGGTGCACATTATGCCACTGTACAATGTAACACCCACTTTTCACAATTTATGTTATGAGTCCCATGTAAAAGGGGGTGAGCCTATTGCCACTGAGATTTTTTTTAAACCCAGTAATACTTTGCCCGACCTGGGAAATGAACCCGAGATCCCTTGTCCGGTAGTCGCACTTGTGACCACTCGGCCAACGAGGCAGTCTTTTGCAAAATATTGATGTACTATAAACAGCGAGCAAAGCTTTGTCACGATTAAGAATGGGACAAGCATTGTTAGATCAAAAAGCTACCTTTTTGACCTAACAATGCCCTCGAAGTGATCTCCTCTATGCCCGTATTCGTACACCCTGTAGATGTTTATATGTCAATCGGGATCGACAGCTTAACGCTAATCTATAAGAACTTGTTACACATTTAGTTCATCCGTTGGGGAAGGGAACACGCGATTACATTTATTTCTACGTCAAATTAAAACTATTTATTTTGACTATTAACTATTACGATGTAATTTTGCGAAAACTTCATAAAAAGAAATGGTGTCACCCGTAATGAACAATATCTTTGTTAAGCAATAAATATCTTGGTCAGCTTTTTTTTCAGTTTACATCGTCATAGTTCAACGGCCCTTTACAATCTACTGCTGAAATATATAGGCCTTTTCTACACAATGGGGGTTAGCCATAATCTCCACACTTGGTAGGTAGGTTGGAGATAGCAGTTTAAAGAGTTCAGGATTATTAGAGAACGCTGGTGTCCAGGTTCTAATAAATATGCAGTTCTTAGCCGACTGAGAATTTAAAAGCCGACTGTTGCAACACCGCGGGAGAGCTGGGTAACTGTTAAAATATATTCTACAGGGCGATCACATCTGGTGAACGCATTGCTCGCGCGCGGCTATTCGCCGTCTGCGAGCATCACGAACTGCACGCGAGCGGGTTTGAATATAAACAAGCACGCTCTTTAGCGGCCTTCTCTTTAGATCACGACGTGTTCTTGAGCTTATGTGGACGTACCATAATGCGTTTGACAAGATAACTTTGGGCATCGATGCCCGAAATCTACAAACTGCTACCTATGGTGTATCAAGATCGTTCCTGGAATGATTTAACGCTATATCGCACCGGCGGCGGCGCCGCGACTCGGCGGATTGAGTTGTAAACTTAAATTGTACTTAGTAATTACTTCTGGCTTCAAGGTGTTTTTTACATATAACTCTGATATTACTTATTGTATCTCTTATTCCCGATCAACATTATAATGAGGTCGTGGTGGCTCGGAAGTTAAGGCGCCCGCTTTACAAGCATGAGGGTGCACTCAGGTTCCAAACCTAGCAAGTCAAGTACCAATGAGAATGAGACAGCTTCCGAGTGATTGGTACTTTTTAAGTTTATTTTGACATCGCTGACAGACGGTGAAGGCAAATGTCGTGAGGACACCTGAACTTAATTCATATTATAAGTTTAAAATCGCCGACCTGCTTTGTCCCTGTTCGGAGAGACCATTTTCTCCGCCGTGGGATAATTTTATGAGCTGATGATGATGAACCATCCTACTTTTGGACTATGAGCCTCCTCTACTTATGGCATGTCATAATGACGCTTGTTGGGCGAGTTGGTTGGTCGGGCACGCTAGAGTTTTAATTATCAGAGAGCGCTTTTTTTGCTGTTTGCTTTTTGTTAAAGATGTAGACACTTAATCGGATCTTACGAATCGTAAGAGCGGGTGTAACTCGTTGATTACAACACCCGTGAGAAGATAAGAGGGGAACTGACATAATTATGACTCCACCACTGAGGTGACCCGGATTCTGTAGAGAACACACCTGGGCGTCTGAGCGGCAGCTCCTGCTAGTTACCAGGATCAAGAGCTATATTACTGACAGCAGTCATCTAGGTCCTACAATTCTGGCAGACAAAGCAAATTGGGGAAATTGGCATCTTTTTGCGAGACTTCCTGTTTGATAGCATCGAGGTGGCAATCACCTCATGGTAACATTCCAATATCTTGCATCCTGCTTGCCTAACTTACAGGTGGACTTTTAGAATTACGGGTGCTTAGAGAATCTAGTGGCCTTAAGAAAATCAGTAGTAGTGTTTGCATGCCGTCATGCATAGCAAAGGTGAAGTGACATGTAGATCTCCCAAGGATGTGCCATAGCAGGCGTCATAGAGTTTATCTCGGAGCCCCTATGATGTAAATAAATAAATCTACTGAGTCAAGTACAGTCAAGCTTACTTGAAGTTAAAGATATTACTGTATTTTGTAACTACAAATCAATGCAACCACGGAATAGGATGTCCTAGGTAGAGAAAAGTTCTGGTGAAAGTAAGTTTTTGGTTTCCAGATGGATTAAATCAATTAATCAAAGGATAAAAGACTTAAGGCAAAAAGACATAAAACAGGAAGTTATTTGTTTTTTAGAGCCAGCTAAGTTACTACACATTCAAGACTGGGCAGCATTTTCTAATAAACTTTAAATTTTTTTACTGTGATCTCTAGGGATTGTGACATAAGCTTCAGGTGTAGAGGAGAACTATAGTCCAACAGTTGGCATTTGCTCGACAGGTTGTTAATTCTGAGAGTGTTAGAAAAGTAATACAAAGGGAAGTACGTTACGTGACCACATATTTACCATATGTGGTCACGTAAAATGGAAAGAAATTCCAACCCTAAATATGTTATAAATATGGAATAAACATAAGTGTACTCCTTCTGTCAAGAAACAAACTGCTGCAAAAATCAGTTTCACAAATAACACTAGCACTGACCTGGTCTCGTTTCCTGGATGGTTTCAACATTTTTCTTATCTTCGATATGTATGGGTTCGGAAAATACTTCGAGTAGATCTTTTTGTAACGCCTTTGTTCAGGCCTCGAGAGTCCAATCTGAACTAAATCTTCTGTGAGCACAAATTTCAGTTGGGAAACTTTTGTAACTTTCAAAATATCTCTGAAACAAACATGAAATATTAACATTTTATTCATCAGTACAAAGTTACTAAGAAGTTTAAAAGTTATCTTACACCTCACTTATTGGCAAAACAGAGAAAAAGTTTATGCCACAAATTGTCTTTCAACATAAGCAATTTAGAAAAGTACCAATCACACCAAAAAAGTTGCCCTAGAGATCGCAAAATGCAAAAAAATGGAGCATGTGGTGTGTTTAAATGAGCATAGCATTAAACAAACCACCATCCATAAACATCACTTAACTAAAAAAAACTTTATTCAAGTTCGCAAATTGGCAAAAATAACTTCTAAAATGCTACAATTCACTTTCTTAGTCGAAACACTTCAAGTCAGTGAAAGGTATGCAACTTCTTATTATTATATCAACACGATAAGTTAAGGGTTTATAAACAAAACTGAAACATGAAGTTGTTTATATTTACCTAAACAATTCATAATACTGTTGTAGTTCTGCTTCTTCTAAGAAATCATTTAAATTTTCACGGTCTTCAAATACAGAAGTTGATTCTGGAAAAAAAATACCGAAACAACATTGTATCTTATGAAGAAAAATTAGTTTAATAACATAAACTATTCATTTTGTTTTCACTACTCACCCATGATGATGTCGGAGAAACTAAGTTACACAAAATAAACTTTTATAAAATAAACCAGAAAGATGTTCGAAAGCTACATCCATCCAACTTTACAGCATTGAGCTCAACACAAATAATGTTAGCATTTTATCACGTCAGTCAACTCAATAAAATAAAAATATAAAGTTGTGGACAGAGCTGTACCGACGTGTTCAATTTTTATTTCGTTCAAAAATCGACTAATCTCAGAAATTATTTAGTTGATATTTTATTTTAAACTATTTTTACTTATTATTTTTTCGTTCCACTGGTTTTATATTTTCGAATGCCTAGATATTTTTAATATTATTGATAGATATTTTAAAAATTATTTCCAAATATCTATCTATATAAGTAGGAAATCGAAGGTTTCACTAGTTACTGGCTACTATTTCTGACACAATTTTGTTATTTTATGAATTTGAATGAAAAAGAATGAAAATTGAATTACTGTTCTTTTTTTAATCGATTACTAGTCAAATAATTTTAGTATTTCTTTATTGTCTTAGTCGATTACTGGTTTAGTTTAATTCCGACAACACGCGGATCTGACAGGTGTTTGAACAGGGTGGCTGTTATAAAAATGTGTTTCAAAATAGTAGCTTTTAATCAAAAACAAGTTTTTGTTTAGACCAAGGATGTTGAAAAAAAGGAGTGCACAAAAGTAAGTATAAAACATTGAATTTGTACAAAAAAATTTAACAAATCCATCAAATTAACTAATACAAAATGAAGTATAAATTAATATAGTAATCGCATAAAGTTCAATTGATAAAATTAATTAATTTTTTCAAAAGAAAATTTTATTTTATTTTATTTTATTTTATTATTTTATTAACGCTTCATGCACAAGGTGTACACAAGGTGGACTTAATGCCGCAGGCATTTTCTCCCAGTCTGACCTTTGGGTGATGCAGAGAAGAGTGAATGGTAGGAGCAAGAAGCAAGCAACGATTTAATTGAGAAAATAGAAGATTACACTAACATATTACAAATATGAACATAAATAAATATAGTAATAATATATATACATATACCTACACACGAGTACACTACAATATACATACATACATAGACTCATAGCATATAATATAAATATGAACATAATTACTAATACTCTGTAAATAATTATTGTGACGATTCAGCCAACCTCTTCAAAAGAAGCTCACGCACTTTCTGTTTAAATGTTAGACGTGTCGACACCATCCTGACATCCAGGGGGAGGGCATTCCACAGCAAAATTGCCTGCACGAAAAAGGAAGAATGAAGGAAGTCAGTGTGATGAGTGGGACATTGGAGAAGACGGTTATGGGAAGAACGAAGGTTTTTACTGTGGTTTGCGCACAAGTATTGAAAGTAAGGGGATAGATAACTGGGTAAAGAAGGTGAACAAAGAAAAGAGAATAGAGTGGTTAGCGCCCTTTGCTCCCTGCGCTGGCGTATGGGCAGCCACTTCAGTTGCAGCCGATGTGCAGAAACATGATCGTATTTACGCAGGTTGAAAACGAATCGAATGCAGTTATTTAGAAGTCGGTCAAGTTTGTTGAGGAGATCTGCATTCAGGTCGTAGTAGCACACATCAGCATAATCGATAATAGGGAAAACCAAAGCCTGCACCAACATAGCCTTCGTAGCGGGAGGAAGTAAGTTTTTCGCACGATACAAAGCTCGCATGGATCCAGTAACTTTTTTGCACACACTGGTGACCTGAGCATGCCACTTCAAATTATTATCCATATGCAGTCCCAGGTTTTTCACCTCATCACTATACGGGATTACTGCTCCATCGAAAACCACTGCCGGCAAGGAAGCCATGTCAACTCTATTCATCGTGCGGGAGCCACCTATAAGAATGGCTTGACATTTCCCAGGATTCACTGCTATGCCAAACCTATCGGACCAGTTCGGATGGCCGCCAGGTCAACGTTCATCTCCGAGATCGCATCAGACAGCCCATCAACATGAGCTTGACGATATAGCTGCAAGTCGTCAGCGTACAGATGGTACGCACACGAAGTTCAGAAGTTATAAAATTAATGAAAATAGAAAATAGAAGAGGAGATAGTATACCGCCTTGAGGAACGCCAGCCCTTAATTCACGCCAATTAGACGAACCATCATCAAGCTTGACCGACTGCTGACGCTCCTGAAGATAAGAAGAGAACCAGTTCAGTGGTTTGTCAGAGATCATAAGATGGGATAGGACGGCTAGAAGGATGTCGTGACTGACCATATTGAAGGCATTCGAGAAATCAACTAAAACCAGAACTGTAATCTTGGTGTTCTCGAGGCCAGTCCTAATATCGCCAGTCACCTTAAGGAGAGCGGAAGTAGTGCTGTGACCTGGTCTGAACCCGGATTGGAGAGGACTAATAAGAGAATTCCGGAAAATAAAGTTGGACAGCTGTTTGTGTACGCAGGCCTCAAGCACTTTGGAAAGGAAAGGAAGTATGGATATGGGACGGAAATGAGTGGGGAGAGAGGGATTTGAGATTTTCGGGAGAGGACGAACAAAGGCCTTACGCCACAAGGATGGAAAGGTTCCTGAAAATAGGGAAAAATTTACAATATGGGTTATTGCTGGCAGGATGTGATCCAGTACAGTTGTGATCATGTGACGAGAGATATTATCACATCCTACCGCTTTGGACTTAATGGACAGGATTATCTTTCCGACCTCCGCCGACTGAACCGGTGCAAAGCAAAAAGGACAAGAAATCTTAGAAAATTCCTTTGAGTGCACCATCACACTAATAAAATTTTACTTTTTTATTCGTTTTTTCAAAGTTATTTGATGATACAACTCAGCAGCAGCGAATGAATCTGGCATCTGGGCTGAAATTATGATAATGACAGTTTTACCAGATTTTAATTTTTTCGAACCTTATGTAGGTACAACAAAGTTTTAGAAGGAACTAACGATGTGAAGGTGTAAAATATTGAACATAATGAGATTTTTAATTTTTAATTTTATTTTAAGCTCTATTTTATCATATAATCACTAAAAATAGTGAAGAAGTGCATACATACAAAATGATCAAGGCAGCAAGTAAATTAATCATGTGTATTTTGTATAAGAATATGGAATAAAACGAGTAGACGGATAACCAGGAAGTAATCGACGCCGCCCATGGACACAAGGCCGAAGGGAATCTCACTCACATGATGAATCGCAACGCAAGTTTTGTTTCACGTCCGTTTTCTGTGAGACCTTGGTATCACTCTGGTCGAGCCGGCGCATTCATGCCGAAGCATGGCTCTCCCACACTTAAATTTTGGATACAAAGATATTAAAAATGTGTATTACTTAAATATCTTATTTCGTATAGACATGATAATTATCATTTGGAAATTCTCTCTATGAGCTCTTTAATTTGATAGTGGTTTTATACCCATATTGCAATACATGCAGAAAGTAACTCTAAACGCTTGACAGTTTTCACGTTGCTTTTTTGATGTCACCTATCTAAGAACACTTGGGTTGGTATGACGTATCGAATGATATATCATAAAACTAAATCAGTTGGGTACTTTAAAAGAAACGAGTTATAGACTATTACATTAATACCTACCCTTCCTTCAGTCGGGTAAAATATACCACTCTAAATCCATGGATTAAAAAAAAAGATAAACGACTGAACAAATTTAAATAGCAAATGTTGAAGAGTTTCATTTTTTAACGATGTTTTTTTAATTTATAATTTTTTATACAACTTACTTATTTTCTAACATACGTCTCTTTGTTGCAGGATGTGGCTGTGTTTTGAACCTTCTCCTTTAGTAGTATTTTTCTCGTTTGTTCTGGCAACACCGTCACCTACTTTGCAAATATGGCGTAGAGTTGTACAAAATGCAGTGGGAGATATTTGTTAAAACTTGTCAATTCTGAAATTTAATAAAAAGACATGTATCTAGCATAAGACACTTTCAATCGACTATAGTGTGCTAGACCGAGTATTAATAGTGAAATGTGAATTTTACGCAATGTAGGTACCCACATTACCTAGATAATATTCTAATTTGAAAATAAGTTAGGAATTTCACGTCTTATCGCTCTGCCGTTTAGTCGTTTGTTTTTAGTAAAACGATCTTTTGTTTACGTGTTGCAGTTTGTCTTTTGTCTCGCGACCGTTAGACCTGTAGACCATTGTTTGTATAATTTTGGTGCAGTTTTGTCAAGACAGGTTTTTAAATACAATCTGTTAGGGGTCGTATTCAGCTTTATATTATTATTTATTTTGTATTATTATGTTTTATTTACTAAAATAATTGTTTTTTAAATTTAATTTTCTTGGTATTTTGAGGTTTATTATGGCGTTATATCATGTTTGTTATTTAGTTTTAAGTATGTGTTATGGACTATAAGTTAATAAGAAAATGAAGAACTTGAAAAGAAGATTGCTGGCTGGTTGGGATCCTGGCGAAACCATCTAGTTAGGTGAGTGGCTATGAATTATTGTTTTTAAAAAGTTTTTCTACCACATACTAAATCACCCATGCTAAATTTGTGTTAAAAGTTGATAAGTAGGTAGGTGTAAATTTCTTAAACAATTTTGAAAATGGCACATTATAACTGAATTCCAACTCTATTTGAAACATAGTTTTCTTTGTTATTCTCATTTTTTACCAAAAGACCATGTAAATACATATGTATTTTATAATTTCTTGCCATCTTACTTCAATAGGACCTCTAATTGAGATGGTTTGTACCCATGATTGTTATGTAAATGCATCATCAGTTATAAATCGAACAAAAGGCCAGTCAATTATCTTCCATTATAACTGTAATCAGGAAGCATTAAATATTGAACATAACAAGACATGCTTAAGCAATTCTTTTTGAAATATACATTTAAGTGGGTACTCAAATAAAATGAATACTAAAAGTTATTCTAAATGTTTGCATTACGTATGCATGCTTAATTACTTTTAATTATTCATTATTTAAGTATTTAATGGTTACTGCATGTAATTAATTGAAATTTATATCATCCTATCACAGGATTATACAGAAGATCTGATCAGTGGTTCAATAATCATGATGTTAAACATGGTCTCATGTAGACTTATGGTTATGAGCCTTAAGTAGGGTACAATAAAGATGAAATTGCCGTATAAAGTGGCCCCTTTATGCAATTTACTTGATTTCCGGTGTGTGGTATC